TTTTTGTCTCCACAAGCTTTTCACTTCAGATCTTTTTGTTTTTATAAATCTTTGCCAGTTTTTTTTAATGTAAATATTTTGTTGATTAGTGTATGGCGAATTCAAATGTTGTTTACTGCTCTTTTTGAAACTTTAACATTTGTTCAGTTGTCGTTAATATCAGACTTATAGAAAGTGAACATTTAAATGGAATTGAGGTTAAATAACACAAGAACATCTGGCAGAAGCGGAGGGCGCGGTTTCTAGTCGGGCTCGTAGGATTTATCGCGGCATCTGGACAAAAGACGCAGATTTGAATGTTGAAGGGAAGTCAGGGGAGGTTGAGATGACGTAACGCTGTCGACTTGACCCAATAATCGAAACCTAACCACGACTTTGCGACCGTAACCGCCTGATCGTACGGCACGGTCATAATGGAGGGGTGCTGTGCGACAGTGCTTGCTAGAACCACCGTCGTGGGTAGGAGAACAGCCACGACCAGGAGCCCCAAACTCCGCTCGTGCTACAGCGCCCCCTATGGATAATTTTGCTGTGCTATAGAATGAAATTGAGGTAGTTCGACCGCCACGCGCTTATAGAGATCTGGTGCCGCTGCCGCTGCCGCTGCATAGTTTTTCATTAACAATTTTGTTCTTTTGTTGACTGCCACAATTTAAATTTGCTGTCACGTCTGTAATAAGTTGTGTTTTTGCATTCAGTTACTTTACTTAGATTTTGCTTTGTTTTTATTAAATTTGTGATATTCAAATATTTGCATTGATTCAGAACGTTGAATTTGATTTCATTCAAAGTTTGGAAAGTTTTTTTTTTGTAGCTGAACATTAAGCGATGTCTTCAACCTTGGGGTCCACCACTTGCATCTGAACGCATTCTGTCACAAAAAACGTAGGTTCCATTTTGATAGACAATCACGGCCAAGGCCAAATTTAGAATTTTTGAATTTTCCGCGGGGTTTTCAATTCTTTTAACATGTTAATTTAAAGCGAGATGTTTGGGTTATCACAATACATATTTTATTTAGACGGAATGTTAGGGTTATCATACCCTATAAGTTAAAATAAAGATATGTATTTATATGTATATGTATGGTTTTCATTTTTTAGAAAACAGGACGTACATATAAAATTTCACAACAATAGTTTTGGAGAATATCTGTCTAATAAAACCGTCACAGACGACAGACAGACGGAAACGGGGCATCTACTTTTTCATACCCCACGAGCTATGAAACGTCTAGAAACGATGAAAGTAGCCGTTCGCTGATCAAATATGACATGCCTGTGACATGTGTTTCACTGGTCAAAGTTCTAGTGAACAAATTTGCGACATAACGTCCACATGATCGGTTGTTTCATCGACATGAAAATAAACTAGATTATCGCCTATAATTTGACGAATAGCCTGCTTTGTTTTTGAAACACTTTGTCCACATAGTTTTTAGTAGTAGTATTAGTAGTAGTATTCTCATGGTACACTTTTTAAGAAATTATCGTAACTTGGGGTTATGCAGACTTTGTGACTTCATATTAGTAGAATTCTTCAGCTTATTGTTGTGAAGGCTTAACTTCGTTTCACAGGCGACCTGAACAATAAAATTAATTCATATTGTGTATGCTTTACTTCTTGCGTGAAAGCAATAAGATGTCAATAAATTAAAGCCATTGTATGAAATTGGAACTAATAAAAATAAATGTGACAAATTCAAAAATATAGAAGTGTTAATAATTTGGATACCTTACTTACCTTCTTACAGTACACTGTGCAAAAACAGATTGAGAATTTTCATCTAACACTAGTTCGGAATACATTTTTATACAGCCGTGGACACTTTCGGCATTTTGGACTCAAAGTTCACTTGTCAGTACCAAAATGCCCAAGCAGCAGACTGTCGTCTAATTCACGTCAATTTTTGGTCATAACTCGTCGGCGACTTCATCCGCCCAAAAAAGCACGTGAAAATGACGAGATTTTTATGACTTACTTCTGACGTCAATTAATGACGTCAAAAGGCCGTCCTTTCTTAGTCATTTTTTATAGATTATATGATCAATTAGATGCGGGTCGTCGTATTCTTTAAAAAGTGGCCTTCATAATGCTTGATTATATTTAGAGCAAAAAATACAACGGCTTAATTAGAAATACACCAAAGACAAGTTTTTTAATTCTAATAATTTCTAATAAAATAATTATTTCTGAAAACTTGTTCCTCTGGAAGTGTTATTTTGTAAGTACCTGCTTGACAAATTATAAATAGAACATCCGGGGTTGACCGTATAATAGTGAAAAGACCCTACGACACAAACAAAGTCATAAAAATTCTTCGTCCATTCTCCCTAAAACGGGACAAGGTTTTGAAGAATTCCTTCGTCGAATTTTGATTTTATAAAGACGTTTATAAAGTGATGACGGTTACCAAAAAAATTCGAGAGTGATTAATATTCAGTTTTATTAAATTTATTCTTATCAGTATTTACTATACAATACATCAGATGTTTGGGGTGTGCATTCGGACTTTCCCTTTTTTCGGTATTTATGAATATTGTACTTCACAGAGAAGCATTCCAATATTTCCAGTTGGTTCTCAACCACCGAAACTATCTCGTGTATCCGTTACTTACTTCATTTTTAACGCAGTTTTGTGCAAATTTATGCCATTCAGTGTGGGTTGTACTTATTTATAGTAGGTAAGTTAATATCTAATAAAGTAATCATTTTAATTTTTACGTGTTTCTGTTATTTTTGATAACTGTACGTAGATAATAAAAGCAGTTTTTTCAGATAAGCTGGAAAGACCACCATTAATTACTCCCACTGATTATGAAGAACTTACGGTGATTGTTTTTGAAAATGAGGCGCTATAAAATATTGCAAAGGTATGTTACTGCAATTTTTTATGAACTAATCCTAATGAACATAATTTTAATTTAGATTTGAAACAAATACAAAATACATGTACGAAACGAAAGAAATGCTAAAGGAAACGAGTGAAAAAATCTCCAACATGGAAACGTCATCAAATCTGACAACTGAAAAAGAAAACAAAAACAGAAATTATGCCGTCAAAACCACACCTAAACAAATTTTGACGAATTACAAGATTTTTTGCATATTAGAACAAGCAGATTTCTTTGTAAGTTAAAAAAATACCATGAATTCATATATACATATATAACATTAATATTGGATATTATATACCGGTAGATGCCTGTAATACTACGATACTTTTTGGTAACTTACTATTTACACATACACATTTCGCTTCATTGTGAAAAGTATTGACAACGAGATTTTCCTGATAAGCTGTACGTTTTTGTCAATGCAACCATTTTACGATTATCCGTTAGATTCAAGTAAATTTAGCATTTTTAAAATACAGAATTTGTCTTCTGCTTTAAGCTGTAATCCCTTAAATTTAATAATAGTCAAATGCTTGCTATTGCCCATAGATGAAAAAATGATTGCATTTCCATTAATCCATGCACTCTAACGGGTTTTTCTTTTCAGTGCAATAAATTGAGGCAAACTTAAAAAACTAAAGGTTATTGATATGATTGTTAAAACAGAATTAATTCTTAACGGTACTTTTTTGTGTGTTGGGGACAGTCAAGTCGACGTGAATTAGATAGTTTTACATATACTGTGGTTTTACAGTGCATTTTCAATCAAGTAACTTCAACAATGCGATTCAATTGTCTTTTCCCTTTATTCTAGTTTTTTTTTTATATTTTTTGTAAATAGATTTGTTTATGTTTTTAAGACTGATCTATAGTTTATTATAGTTTTTTTTTTTTATATTCTTTGTAACTAAATAGATTTCTTTGTGTTTTTAAAACTGATTTTTCTTTAAATAGCATATTTTATTGCAACGTTTATTTTTGATTATATATTGTACAATATCCTTTTTTTTTGTTTATACTAATTATATTCGTAATTACCTATATGTACATTTGTTTATGTTCTTAGGAGTGGTTTATCTTTAATTTGTTTAATTGACATATTTTTTATTTGTTTAATGAAGTTCATTGTTGGTTGTACAACATTGTAGTAAATTTAATTTTTTTACACTAATTTGTTTTAACTTAAATTAATATATACTTTGTTTTGGGCTTTACTTTGTGATTATAGCGAATTATAATATTTTATTTAAGGTAAACAATATAAAAAAATAAACTTATTTCAGCGTTTTATTTATTGCATATTTTTTTCTAAAAATCAAAATATAAAAAACGTCTTAAAATGGACAATAAATGCCATCTCTAGGACGTCAGTAAATCACGTCAATAATTCATCACAAAATGACGACTCTAAGACGTCAGTACATCACGTCAATAGTTCGTGAGAAAATGACGTCATCTAGACGAGACATTTGACCGTCATTGGTACGTCAATATCACGTGAAATCTTTGGCCACTATGACGTAAATGATGACCATTTATTCACGTGAAAAAGACGACATCATGTTGCCTGGGTGAGGACTGACAAAATTAAGAATGAAAGGGGTAAATGACAACATGAGTAACTGCTAGAAACATGCTACCTGAAGAGTTAAATAAGAGAAAATTAAGATAATTTTAAGCTGGATGCGGCCTATTCAATATTCCAATAAACGGGATGTGATATTTGCTGAATAAAGATACAATTTGAAAATTTTACAAAAATATGCATAAATATGCACTTAATCGGTAAATATGCAGTAAGATTGAAAAATATGCAAAACATGCATTTTTTTAAAGCCCATTGTTTTAAAAAAGGAGTTATACATATGGCTAGAAACCTTTTTTTCTCTGAATATGTCGCATTTTAAGAAATATGCATTTTGCATACAATCCGAGTCTTAGTTATGTGTAATCGTTCTACTTGCAGACTTCTATTATTTCAAATAACTGAGAAATTTATTATAACAGAACAACTAAATTGGGACACTCTGTATACTTTTACAATTATATGTATCACAATCATCGTAAGCATAGTATTGATTTTGAAATTTCCACTAGTTGCGCAACTCACGTCTAGGGGGAGCGATGATCGCTAGCAGAATACCACACGTGTTGGCAGGCGGCTTGCACAAATTAATTTCACAACCGCTCACTAACCGGTTACGTTGTTCCTCCTCGTTGTCTGGCATTTGTTCCAATATGGCATATACCATTGTCGAAAGAGGCTCTCCATACTCACCTGACTACCGGGTTTACATCCGTAAGTCACAATTACTAGATATAACCTTTATCCACTCAACCTTGATCTTCATCTTGACCCCCGCAACTAACTCGAAAAACCGCCCCACGTTCCAGAAAACAAAAATGGACCGGTGTCACCCTTGCACGACATCCCTCTCATGGTCGACGGGTCAAAAAAGATCTTCAACATGGTAGTCGAAGTGCCAAGATGGTCAAACGCGAAGATGGAGGTATGTAACAACAGACACATTTTTCACATAAAAAGTAAAAAAATTGTAGATCACGATGAAAGAAATTCTCAACCCAATCAAACAAGACGTGAATAAAGGAAAACCGCGATTTGTAGCAAACTGTTTTCCTCATCATGGGTACATTTGGAACTATGGCGCTTTGCCGCAAACGTGGGAGAACCCGGAACATTTGGATGATGGGACGGGGTGTAAGGGCGATAATGACCCCATTGATGTGTTGGAAATAGGGTACAGGGTGGCGAAAAGAGGAGAGATCCTTCAGGTTAAAATATTAGGAACTATTGCTTTAATTGATGAAGGTGATTCAAACCCAAGTTTATGTATGGTTTGTAATACTGATAGTTTTTTATAATAGGGGAAACGGACTGGAAACTAATTGCCATAGATGTTAAGGACCCTTTAGCAGATCAAGTTAATGATGTTCAAGATGTAGAGAAACATTTCCCTGGGTTGCTGAAGGCGTCAGTGGAGTGGTTTAAAATATATAAGATTCCAGATGGGAAACCAGAAAATCAGTTTGCTTTCAATGGGGAGGCAAAGCCAGCTAGTTTTGCTCTGAAAATTGTGGATGAGGTATTGATTTTTTTTTCTCAAGGATGTTGGTGTATGGTGTATTTGTGTGGTAGTTAAATTCTATTACTATTATTAGGTACATCGGTTCTGGAAGTCTCTTGTCAATAAAGAAGTTGACGCCAAGGGTATTTCCTGGTAAGTGATAGTGGTTACTTATGCTTGACATTGAGTTTTTCACTTTAAAAATAAAATACCGTGACTTTTGTAGTGTAATAGTACAAGGCCGTTATTTGCTTCAAACTGATTGTTGTTGTGCAAAACATGATAGTGTAGTGCAAAATCAAGTAAAAATTATCTACTTTATGTTTTACAGTCTTATACTAGTAGCTGTTATCACAGAGATTTAAATGTAAAGTTGAGGTAAAATGCAACCTCAATTTATGATTGTTTAACTTTTAGTAGAAATTTATTATAATTTACACATGTTAAATGCTGCTAAGTACTTAAAATTTTGGCTCAAGGATAAATAACTCAGATTGCGAGGTGTACATTACATCGACAAAGTTGGTTGCATAACTTTGATTTCGAAATATATATTTTTTAATTATAAAGATAAATTAGAGGTCAAATTACTACTTTTAAAACGTTTCTGACGTGAAAATTGTCACGTCAATAAATAAGACGTATTTTTGTTTAATGAAAAATAAAAACGTAACCGGTGTAATGTAAATGGGGGTTATTGTTTATTTTTAATTTAATTTAACCCTATAAAGTTACAAGTACTTTGTGAAATTGATTACTAGAGATTAGAAAAGATTACTAAAGAAAAGTTACCCCCAAATTTCGAAAAACTACTTGAACATTTCAACTTAAGTAATTTAAACCAAATTTTTGTATACCTTTTCAGAGTTATGATTTGATGATTGTGTATCAAATTGCAGTCCATTTGAAAAATTCTTTGACGTGTTCAAGTGTTTTCATTAAATTGTCACTTCTGAGATTCATATCGGCGTGATTTTCTAATTTTTTATTTTTTGTGTGAAAAAGTGTGACGTGCTCCATTGTTTTTGTAAATGCACTTTTGAGATTTGTATCTTAAAATTGTGTTTGATTTTAATCTCAGTCGTTTGTGGAAATCGATAAAAAATATTTGAAAAAGCTGCTAGATTATTTATGGTTATGTTTAATCAATTACAGTTGAGATCAAGAAATTCGTGTTTTACTTGGCATCAACAACTTTTCCTTGAAATTGGCAGAACTGCTACCCCACTTACTTCTTGTTATGTTATCAGAATTGGCATAGTTGACGTTGACAATGGCGTTTAATAATTTAAATCAAAATTTAAAGTTTCATAACCTAACTTTCTTCATTTTTTAAACATTGGCATCCAATTAAATCAGGTTTGGAAATAGCAGCACAAGAAAATTTTTTCAGAAATGGTTAATTCTGTTGCCAACTCAAACAGTATTTGTTGTTCACGCCGTATATTCATTCTTCGCAATCATGATTGCTATTTTTCAATATAATTATCAAATATATATAAAATCAGAGAATTTTTTATTGGAATTTGAAAAATGTGTCTAAAATATCAGATCTACATACGTAGTGACAAATCTCAAGCAATCAGATATTCAGAAAGATTAACATCAAAACATTGTTTTACTTGAATTATCTTTAAAGATTGCTTTAAGTTAGGTAATATTTTATATCATATGATTGAAAAAATATTAGTCTTAAGGTTATTTAGACAAAACTTTCCTCGCCTCTGAATAAAGTCGAACAAATACAGCTTGTTCGAAAAATTATAAAATTTAATTTTGTGAATTATAATTTATTTTTTTATGATAACCCCTATAAGTTAAAATAAAGCTACGTGTGAACTGTTAAACTACTATGTTTCAAGTGAATTCTCCATAACAATTGACAACTATCAGTCCAGGTGTTTCGAAGGTTATGTGTCTAATCAAACTCGACGTAGACGACAGACACACTTATTTTTCGTACTCTGGGAGTTATGAAACGTCGAGAAAACACGAAAGCAGCCAGTCGCCCGATGAACCATGTATTCTAATAGTTGCGTCGCTTACGCTCGGGAAGTAAAAAGTCCTCTGATAGGCCATGAAATTTATTTTTAAAATAATTATGTTGGCACTGCATCTATGTCACAGTTTGTTTGATAGAAATATCGAAACTGGGGTGCTGTTGCCAACATCATCATTATAAAAATATATTTCATGGCCTACTAGAGGACTTTTTTCTTCGATAATATGGTATATTCTTTTTTGATTTAGTTTTTCAAACGCCCAACCTTCACAAGAAGTTCAGTATATTAGAAATTTCATGTAAATAGTAAAATGCTAACCAAAATTTGGCTAATCATCCCCACCACCAACGGGATGACGTCATCTCCAAAATTTACAATGTCATTTTATTTCTTTTATAAAATACGATCCTTTTGCACTTGTGTCGAGTTTTCACACCAGACGTCCAGATTTTTAGAAAAAATTTTTTTACTGATAACGCAGCAAAGAGATCCATCAATTTTTGGTTTATTTATTTCCTTTATTTTTTTGTTGTTTCTTTCGATTTACAATTTTTTATTTATTCAATTTTTCAAATTTTCAGACTTTGATTTTTCAGTTCCATTCAATTTGCAGTTTTTGGATTTCCAGTCTTCCGATTTTTCAATTTCTTTAATTTTCAATATTTTGATTATAATACATATTTCTTTTTTTTTATTCTTTACTTTTTCGAATTTTAAGTTTTTCAATTTTTAATCTTTCGATTTTTCAAATTTTCATGTTTGATTTTCACTTTTGACATTTTTCAAGTTTTCGTTATATACGTTTTCGTTTTTTTATTTTTGATTTTTCAATTTTACAGTTTCTTTACTTCTAAATTTTCCAATTTTTCGATTTTACAGTTTCTCTTATTTGTCATTTTCAATTTTTCGTTTCCTCAATTTTTCAAGTTCTAATTTTTCATTTTCCCGATTTTATGTCACAAATTTTCATTTTTTCAATTCCTTTATTTCTTGTTGTTTCTTTCGATTTTCAATTTTTCGTTTCTTCAATTTTTCGAATTTTCAGTTTCTCAATTTTTCGTTTTCACAATTTTTCATGTTCCCGGTTTTTATTTTTCAATTTGGCGAATTTTTAATTTTTATTTTCTCGATTTTATATCACAATTGTCCGTTTTTTCATTTCCTTTAATTTTTTTTTTTTTTCGATTTTACAATTTTTTATTTGTTCAATTTTTCAAATTTTCAGGCTTTGAATTTTCAGTTCGTCCATTTTTCAATTTAAAAATTTTTCACTTTGCAGTTTTTGGATTTCCAGTCTTCCGATGTTGCAATTTCTTTACTTTTCAATATTTCTATTTCATAATACATATTTTTTTTTTGATTTTTCACTTTTTCGGTTCTTAAGGTCTTTCAAGTTTTCATTTTGTAATGTTTCGTTTTTTATTTCTGATTTTTCAATTTTACAATTTCTCGACAAAATTTTCAGTTTTTCGGTTTGCATCAGTATTTCAATTTGGCAATTTCTCAATATTACATTTTTTCATTTTTTGATTTTTCATTTTCTCAATTTTTAATGTTTCCCTTTTCCAATTTTTTGTTTCCGATTTTTAGTTTTCATTTTCTTAATTTTTTAATTCTCACTTTTTCGATTTTATATCACAATTTTTCGTTTTTTCATTTCCTTTATTTTTTGTTGTTTCTTTCGATTTTTCAATTTTTCGTTTCTTCACTTTTTCGAATTTTTAGTTTCTCAATTTTTCGTTTCCACAATTTTCCATGTTCCCGATTTTTATTTTTCAATGTGGCGAATTTTTATTTTCTCGATTTTATATCACAATTGTCCGTTTTTTCAATTCCTTTTTTTGTGGTTTTTTTCAATTTTACAATTTTTTATTTGTTCAATTTTTCAACTTTTCAGGCTTTGAATTTTCAGTTCGTCCATTTTTCAATATTTAAATTTTTCACTTTGCAGTTTTTGGATTTCCAGTCTTCCAATGTTCCAATTTCTTTAATTTTCAATATTTCTATTTAATAATACATATTTTTTTTTTATTTTTCACTTTTTCGATTCTTAAGATTTTTCAAGTTTTCATTTTGTAATGTTTCGTTTTTTATTTCTGATTTTTCAATTTTACAATTTCTCGACAAAATTTTCAATTTTTCGGTTTGCATCAGTATTTCAATTTGGTATTGCTCAATATTACAGTTTTTCATTTTTCGATTTTTCATTTTCTCGATTTTTTAATTCTCACTTTTTCGATTTTATATCACAATTTTTCGTTTTTTCATTTCCTTAATATTTTGTTGTTTCTTTCGATTTTTCAATTTTTCGTTTCTTCACTTTTTCGAATTTTCAGTTTCTCAATTTTTCACTTCTTAAGATTTTTCAAGTTTTCATTTTGTAATTTTTCGTTTTTTATTTTTGATTTTTCAATTTTATAATTTCTCGACTTCCAAAATATTCAATTTTTCGTTCCTTCAATTTTTCGGTTTGTATCAGTTTTACAATTTGGCAATTTTTCAATATTACAGTTTTCCGTTTTTCGATTTTTCAATTTCTCAATTTTTAATTTTTTCCTTTTCTAATTTTTTGTTTCCGATTTTTATTTTTCATTTTCCTGATTTATTTATTTTCACTTTTTCGATTTTATATCACAATTTTTTGTTTTTTCATTTCCTTTATTTTTTGTTGTTTCTTTCGATTTTACAATTTTTCGTTTATTCAATTTTTCAAATTTTCTGTTTTTTTTTCAATTCTTCAAATTTTCAAGTTTGATTTTCACTTTTTACAATTTTCACGTTTTTATTATACCCTTTTTCGTTTTTTTTATTTTTGATCAAAATTTATTTGTTTATTCCCTCTGAAAAAATTGATGACGTCTTCTCAAAATATTCCCGAATAAATCCTCTCTGAAATATGCAAAATATTATAACCAGAGATTTCTTAGTAACCTAGATACGGTGATCCTATGCAAAAGCGAACATACGTTCTTGGCCAACATGTACACTATGCGTTTTGCTTTCCATCTTCTTTTACAGCATGGGAACGCAGGAGTATGATTTTGTAGGTCTTTGTTTAAACCTAGCAATTTACGATTTTGCGCAGTAAACCCTTAAATTCTGCTAGCGCAAGTCGGTTCTTAATTCATACAATCGCCGGTGTTTGTTAGTTTGTTCTAAGAGATTTCTTAGGTTATAAGATTTATATCACGGTTATAAGTTTAAATTGCATAGAATTTCTAAAAATGGGTTACAGAGTGTGTGTTGTATGCAAAGAAAGATCTAATAATTCTTTTGTTTCGCAAAAATATTACAAAGATTTTTAATAATCCCGACATGAACAGTCATTGCATTTCTCAGGGATTACTAGATAATCACAAAATACAATTGATGAAGGCAATAGCGCAAATGTATTTAAAAGTCCGCTTGCATCACGAAGCAAAACTGGTAAATTTTGCTTCAAAACAGGCGAAAATAGAAGTAAATTAGTAAAATACATTTTATTTAATAATGAGTAACTAAGATTACATTAAATCACCAATATTTAATAATAATGTTAATAAATCTATACCACAGCTGTACGTCTTATTTCTTTTTCGTTTTAAGCTCTCAACATTGTGCATGCAAATAAATACAATACGATTCTCTATTTATGTTAGAAACGTGCGTGGCAACAAAAACTTTTGACTATAAGAAAATTGTATTATGTCATTTTTCAAGAGTTTCGCTGGTGTGAATGATAAAGAAAAAGTGCGAAAAAAGGGAAGTCGACAGTCAAATTTATTCCAAGGATATTGTCCGTGTAATATTTTAATTTTAACATTACAAATCATTTTGGAGATTGCTTAGAAACTTTTCGTTTGCCACTTGTTAAAAAACTCGAGTTATGATTCTCTTTTATACCATTTTAAATCAGTGCGCCAAATTATTAACCAGTGTTAACAGTCGCTAGAATTAGAAGAAGATAACACTAGTATGTAGTGCATATTACAACGAGTAAGAGAAAGACAGAGAACTGAAAGTATGTCGACACTATTTTCATATATGTTGTTCCACACTTTGCTGCCCATAGCCGTATCTAGGTTACTAAGAAATCTCTGATTATAACTCTATACTTGTGGTTTGCAACCCACTCATAGTTTTTAAAATTACTTATACAGGGTGACTCAAAAAAATTATGAATAAATCAATGCTTTGGAATCTTGCTGACAGAGGTCTTTTTGAACATTTTTGACTATTTTATCACCATCATCTCTAATTTTTATTGGAGTTTTAACTCCTTTCTTTTCGTATAAAGAATACGTATACGCCGCGCGCCGGAATAGGATGTCGAGTTCGACACCGACACCGACACCGGTCTGAACTGAGTCTCGACATATAACGCTGCGTTATATTTTTATACAAAATGTTATAATAATTAGAAAAAAACTTGTTTTCATTTCTTCTACAACGTTGCCACGTGAATTTTCGAACCACTTTCTAGTTCCTCTGTTGGCGTGTAAAAATGCCATTATTTCTATTTTAAAAGTTGGTTAATAATAGATTTTCTCGATTTGCATTTAAAATAGCAGTATATGGCGTAATCTTAATTGTTTAATTTTTTTTGTATTGGTGCGTGACCACTAATAGCGGCTAATTTAGTGATCGAAAGATATAATCGTTTCTGATAATCTTACTTCATAATTGTGCCTTGTTACATTCTACAACAAAAACGAATAATCGTTGGCAAAATTCGTAAAAATAAGGTGTGGGATTCCAAACAATGGCGTACACTTAGTCACTTTCATGTAACGCCCTGGAAAATTTCGTATGTTATATATAATCAATTAAAAAAAAGTATGTTTTTTAACTATTGCTAGGATATATTTCATATTGTAAGTTTTCCAACGGCAACAATGACATTTAATGCGAAAAACTGAATTGTAATTTTTACCCAGTGTGAACACAACTCTTGACGGAAATGCATTCCAAATATCAATAAACGAAGCCAAGGAGGTAATAAATAAAACTCCGCCATATTCTCAGCCACAGGCAATCGATCCAATTGGTAAGTTTCCCTCAACCTCTTTAAACAATATAAATTTGAATCATTTTAGTCGATAAAATACATTTTGTTAGAAGAATTTGCATGTGTAGAAATGTAAAGTGTAACATGTAGACACCTGAACTAACTATACAAAGCATAATGTTCTTTTTTCAGAGGACGATTAACATAAATTGAAACCATAATGTTGTTCTTTTTTCAGTGGATAAATGGCACTACGTCCATTTAAAATAAATCATCAGGGAAGATATTAAAACTCACACGTCACATCAGTGCATTTATTTTAATTTTTTTATTAGCAAGGACATAAAGTATGCTTGGTGTTTTTGCTATAATTATTGTAAGTTATAAATAAAGTTTAAATTATTTAGGCTGTCTATTGTCCGCAATCACCACCTACTTACCTTAATAACGCATTAACTAGTGACATTTAACGTGTTTATTTTTACACTACGTTTCTGTCATTGTTACCGGAAACGCATGAGGAGGCGGTAAGCAGAATTTCAGATAGTAATTCTTAGAACACTAAATTGATAACATTGTTGGAAGTAATTAAAGTCGGAGTAATTTACGTTGCGGTGGATTTAGATTTAGTATGCATTAACCAAGTGATTTGTTTTGTCATTCATTTGCCTTTTGTGGCTACTTCGTAATCACATCAAATTTTTTCCATCCGTATTTTTCTGCTTTCCATGTTTAGCGCGTATTAATGTGATCAAGGCCGGCTAGAGCAGCCGATTCGACAAAAAATAAATGTTAAAAGGTGCGTTCTTGAAATAGTCATTGGTCCTAATGTCACCACGACCAAGCGTCGAGGCGTAAAAATACCACAACTTGAGGAATGTTAATCGTATTTTCAAACAATAAAATTAATGCGAAGATTTTTCTAGGCTCAGGTAAATGTCAACTATAATAGAAAATGCAAAAGTTGGTTTTACACTGATACAACTGCCCCCGGAGTGGGAGTTATTTAATGAGATTCTTGACCTTGCCGTTCACACACCAGAATTAGCGGAATTTGTTTAGAATTAGTGAAAATTGTTCGGAATTTATCAGAATTGTTTGTGTATTTTACTGCACACCCTGGTGGTATTGCTTGTATTTTTGAAGGCTTTGTACAAATGGAATTACTGGATCTCGTTAGAGGAAAATTGGTTAAATCTGTATTTATTTTTCATATTAAATTTTATTGTGTCGTTTTTTATAAAAAAAGATTTTTTGTTCAAAATTTAATTTTTAAAATTTAATTAACTTGAAATTATTGTTCGCAAGTCTGGCTCCTTGCCGACAGATCCTGGAGGATAAGTAGTAATAAAAAATAAGCAGAGGCAGTGTTTCGTTAATGTAACTTTAAAAAAAAAACAGATACGGTGATTCCATTATGTAATTACATGCCATTAAGTTTTCTGATTTAATGATTAAAATTTCAGAAGGAAGCTGCCGTGATAAAATTTGATCTAACGTCTGCTTTTAATTTATTTATGTTTAATTAAAAGCTGTTGAAATTGTACACGTTTTAAGAAATCATTCAAATGTTTATTACTGCTGTTAGGGCTTGGGTCAGCTCTAGTTTAACTTATTACTGAAAGTTACAAAATAACTCGTCTATAGTAAGTTGTTTTTTAGGCAGTATGTCTGTAATACCTGATCCACAATCAGACAAGACAAAAAAAATCATTCATCCTTTATAAGCAGTTTAAAAAATAGATATTACTAAAGTGCAAATAACATTTCATTCTAAATCATATTTTTTACACAAATTTATTGTATCTTTTTTTTCATGATGACGTCATTAACTTCTACTTAACAAAATGACGTCATTAATTTTTTTCCAGGGCTGATCAGATTATTAACGGAAACCGTAAAGAGTGCAATTTGTAGTTTCTAATTTAAATTCTAAATTAAAATTTACATTGTTTTTAAAAACCTGCCTACGTGAAGTTAAAAACAGGGATGGATAAATAAATCACATGTACAAAATCATTTTATGTTGAGAAGCAAGGTTTTGAGAACTAAACGTCAGTAAAATTTTTTGGGGATGAGTAGCTAAATTTTAGTAATTCCAGTAGTTTCGAAACCATCGATTAAGCTTGCCAATAGACAACAGACAAGTGGAAACGGGCGACCTACTTTTCCATAGTCTATGACCAATAAAATATGGAGACAACATGTAAGTAGCCATTTCCCTAACTTATTATACCTACTTTCCGGAAATAAAAAAAAAATTTAATCGTTGGTTAATATACGCTGTGTTTGCTAATTCGGATAATAATAACCCTTGTATTTTTTGAAAAACTTCGGCAGTCAATGACGAGGAGAAAATAGGATGATCTACAAACACAGGGTGGGTGGGCGGGGCTAGTATTTGCTAAGGCAAAACTGCACAATAATAAGAGTAGTCACTGGAATGAACACGGGGTCAGTGGGCGGGGCTACTGCTTGCTTATAAGACTCTTAAGAAAAAAGCTAATCTATAGAATGTAAGATTTAAAACAAAGTCAAAAGTGCCCATCCACCGCCCACCCTCTATTTTCTTAGAGAGTACATCATTTGCCAAATTCAGTCTTATCTTTACAAATACACCCACCCACCCTTTTATTTTCTTAGAAGGTAAGTCATTTGCCAATATCAGTCTTATCTTAGCAAATTGAAGCCCCGCCCACCCACCCTCTATTTTCTTAGAGAGTATATCATCTGCCAAAATCAGTCTTATCTTTACAAATACTTTCAACTAGATTACCTAATTTTTCGGTTTTTCAGTTTTTCAGTTTCCCGATTGTTAATTTTTCGATTTTTCAGTGTTTCAGTATTACTTTTTCGCTTGCTCAAATTTTCGTTTTTTACTTCTCACTTTCTCAATTTCACAATATTTCGATTTTTACTCTCCGAGGGTAAGCTAAGGAAGTATAGTAATGGATTCCATCGGACGAATGGTCACTTTTATATTTTCTTCACGTTTCATGTCCCCAGAGTACGAATAAAGTAGTCTCCCGTTTCCATCTGTCTCTCTGTCTGTCTGTATCAATTTTTATTAGGCAGTAATCTTGGAAACTGCTGGACCGAATCTTGTCAAATTTTGTATGTATGTTAGAAATATCATGTAGATCGTTAAATGTTAACCAAAATTTGGCTAATCATCCCACCAACAATTTGATTTGATGCGAATCCGCTTTCAGTTTCCTCGCTAAACGTTTAAATTTTGTTGGAAAATTTTTGGAAATTTCGAATTCACTTTTCGTGTTTATTGGAACAGATATTCTAACGGCGATCTCAAATTTGTAACTGGCGGAAGATTATCTACAATTTGACACCGATATTCGGTCGATTGAACCAATTTTAACCATCATTTTGTAAAATTTTCGAAAAATCGATAAACAAAAAAATCGAAAGACTAAAAAATTGAAAAATTGAAAAATTACAAATCGAAAACTTGAAAAATCAACAAGCTGAAAGATCGGAAAAAATTGAAAAATCGGAAAATTGAAGAAAAAGGAAACTGTAAAATCGAAAAATTACAAAAGGAAGAACTGAAGAAATGAAAATATAAATAATTAAAGCATTGTTTTTTTTTTCGAAAAACCTTGATCACTTGTATCTTCGAAACAAAGTGTCTTTCCGAAAATCATCCAAGGACAAAAAATCTTGAAATAATCCAATGACTAATTCCCTAAATTTTTGTCGCGTGTTTAAAAACATCCTGTATAAACTTCCTTGTTAATTTCATTCACGTGAGTAATAATGGAAAAAACATACAGGGTGAGTCACTAAACGCGCGGTCCTCGATATCTCATTAATTATATTAGAAATAGTAACTTTTTAGTTGTATGATTTTTTTTAGTAGCATACTCTAAAATGATTTTGACTAAGTATACAGAATATTTTGTTTCTGAGGCATCGCACGCAACATTTCTTTTTTTTTAATAATAATATATTTTTTTACATATTTTCATTGGCCTCTTCCTAAGATTTAAAACCACAGTTTATTTTTCAAATATCAATACGATGTTGCCACCTTATCCCAGTTTTCTTCAAATTTTTTGCCATTGGAAGGGTTCACAAAAAAAATTAATGGGGTTATTTTTAAAATCTGTCTTATAATATTTTGTGGACGGATAAATAAAGACACGCACTTTGTTTGATACCAATTAAATGAAATTTTAATATACAGAGTGTTTATAGAAAAGTCTAAAACTTTACAAGTTTCAAATATCGATATTTCAGTTTTTTTCCAATAGAACAACCTGTATTTAATTACTGCATCTTAGATTTTGTTGTTAGTTGTTGTAGTTCTGGTTCTTTTTTGTAACATATTATATATATTTTTCTATTAATGTTCCTGCGATTTTTTACTTTTTTGTATATCGACATACAGAAAGAATGGAAACAAACAATAGAATAAGATGCAATAATAAAACATTTGAAAAAACTGAAATATCGAAATATGAAAATTGTAAAGTTTTAGATTTTTTTATACACACTCTGTATATGAAGATTCAATTTTATTTATATCACAACAAAACGGATAACTGTGTTTATCTCTAGACAAAATATTGTTATACAGATTTTAAAGATAATCCTAGGGCGATTATTTTAGTGACTCCTTCCATTGCTAAAAAAATTCAAGAAAATTCGATTAATGGGGCAACATCGTATCGAACCTTCAAAAATAAACTGTGCTTGTAAAACCCAAAAAGAGAGATGAGTCAAAACAGAACGCTCTGTCTAATTAAAACTGATTTTGGAATATAATCCTCAGAGAACTATACAACGTTGGTCTGTGACTTTTTGTCTATTTCTAATAATTAGCGCTTAGTGACTCACCCTGTATACCTATCTAAAGCAGTACTCACAACAACAATATTAGCCCTTTTTAGCTGCTAAGCACCAGCTTTAAAGAAACTAAAAAATTGCCAAAAAATGCATTAAATCATTCAAACTTAGAAATATCTTCTAAACAGTCACTGAAATCAAATTGTGACGTAGAGCTTTTGTACATTTTTTACGATACAATCAGAGCTTTCAAAGTAATTTCTGAGATGTAAAATTGAACGCTATTTATCAGACACTACAACTTTTTACTGTAGAGATTGGTACCAAGTTTTTTTCTTAAATAATTTTTGAAAATTAGTTGAACAAAATCTTGAAGAGACAGTCATCTCAAGAAATGTGGACCTGTTTGTTGTACAAGCTGGTAGATAATATACACTGTGATAACCCAAACATCCCGCCTTAAATTGACATGTGAAAAAGTTTGAAAAGCCCGCGAAAAATTCAAAAATTTGGCCTTGGCTGTGATCGTCTGATAAAATGGGACCTACGTTGTGTGTTTTTTTTTTGTGGTGGAATGCGTTCAAATGGTAGTGGAGGA